GGTCTTGCCTGGTGTGATAGACCCCAGCCTCTATGGATCTTGTACTCAGAGCTTGTTCTTGTGCTGCCATGATTAGTGCCTCTGTGCTGTCTTTCAGTCCAGCTTTGTCCAGCCACTGGTAGGATTTCTGGATATCAGCCACCTCCTCTATCTGCCGGTGGTACATACCGTGCAGGGGCCTGTCCTTCCATGATGGTTCCTCGTCTCCCTCCTCTTTCTTGGGTTTCTGCTGCCTGAGGTATTCACTGAGCACTCGGTCAGTTGGGGCCATCTTCCCAATGTATTCTTGGATGTTCGTTGTCTCATCCTGGACTGTGGTGCTGACACTCACCAGTCCCCGGCCCCCTTCCTTCCGCTTAGCGTACAGCCTCAGGGTGCTGGACTTGGGGTGAAACCCTCCATGCATGGTAAGGAGCTTTCTTGTCTTTATGTCAGTGGCTTCTATCTCCTCCTTTGGCCAGCCTATTACCCCAGCAGGGTACCTGATCACGGGCAGGGCGTACGTGTTGATGGCCCGGATCTTGTTCTTACCATTCAGCTGACTCCTCAGGACTTGTCTGACCCTCTGCAGGTACTTGGTGGTTGCAGCTTTTCTAGCGGCCTCTTCATGGTTCCCATTCGCCTGCGGGATCCCCAGGTACTTGTAACTGTCCTCTATGTCTGCAATGTTGCCTTCTGGTAGTTCAATCCCCTCAGTTCTGACTACCTTCCCTCTCTTTGTTACCATCCGACTACACTTCTCCAGTCCGAACGACATTCCAATGTCATTGCTGTATAGCCTGGTAGTGTGGATCAGTGAATCGATGTCTCGTTCACTCTTGGCATACAGCTTGATGTCATCCATGTACAGGAGGTGGCTGACAACTGCTCCGTTCCGTAGTCGGTATCCGTAGTCGGTATCCGTAGCCAGTCTTGTTAATGATCTCACCGAGGGGGTTCAGGCCTATGCAGAACAGCAGTGGGGACAGAGCATCTCCTTGGTAGATCCCGCACTTGATGGTGACTTGTGCTATGGGCTTGGAGTTGGCCTCTAGTGTTGTACGCCACATCCCCATTGAGTTCCTGATGAAGGCTCTTAGGGTCCCATTGATCTTGTACAATTCTAGGCATTCCAGTATCCAGCTGTGGGGCATTGAGTCATAGGCCTTCTTGTAATCAATCCAGGCAGTGCACAGGTTGGTCAGTCTGGTCTTGCAGTCTCGGCTGACTGTTCTGTCTACCAGTAGCTGGTGTTTTGCACCTCTGGTATTCTTGCCAATTCCTTTTTGTGTCCCACTCATGTATTGACCCATGTGCCTGTTCATCTTAGCCGATATGATGCCTGACAGGAGCTTCCATGTAGTACTGAGGCAGGTTATTGGTCGGTAGTTGGAGGGGACCGGTCCCTTCTTGGGGTCCTTGGGGATCAGGACCGTCCGACCTTCGGTTAGCCATTCCGGGTGTCTCTCGTTAACTAGCAGCTGGTTCATTTGTGCTGCCAGACGCTCGTGGAGTGCAGTCAGCTTCTTTAGCCAGTAGGCGTGAACCATGTCGGGCCCTGGTGCTGTCCAACTCTTCATACTGGAGACCCTTTCTTGGATATCTGCCACTGTGATGGTTACTGGACCCTGTTTAGGGAGGTCGCTGTGGTCTGCCCTCAGATCCTCTAGCCACTGAGCATTGCCGTTATGGGTTGCATCCTTCTCCCATATGCTCTTCCAGTATTGCTCCGTCTCCAGCCTTGGTGGTGCTGCTCTCTTATTGTTCCCTTGCCACTGAGAGTACACCTTTGCTGGTTCTGTGGAGAACAGCTGGTTTATTCTCCTGCCTTCTATCTCTCTTATGTACCTCCTCAAGCGGCTGGCCAAGGCTGTGAGTCTTTGCTTGGCAGTTTCCAAGGCCTCAGGTATGGACAGCTTGCTGTATTTCTTATGCACCTTCTTTGTCACACCTTTCTGCAACTCCGTTAGTTGGCTAACCTCCCTCCGTGCTACTTTGATCTTGTCCTCTAGCCTCCTTCTCCATGGAGGGTACTGCCCCTTGTCGCTGTTCAACTTGTAGCCAAGCATCTCACTGATCACTGCTGCCGTATTGTAGATCAGCTTGTTAGTGTCGGTAATCGTGGTTGTATATATATATACACATATACATACATATATACACATATACATATATGTATATATATATATATGTATATATATGTATATATATATATACATATCATCTAGCAGACCTTCTGAGGGCACTTCACGTAATATGGGTCAATACATGAGCGGGACACAGAAAGGAATTGGCAAGAATACCAGAGGCGCAAAACACCAGCTACTGGTAGACAGAACAGTCAGCCGAGACTGCAAGACCAGACTGAACAACCTGTGCCCTGCCTGGATTGATTACAAGAAGATCGGAGATCTCTGTCCAGAAGAGCGCAGTCCTGGGAACAGCTAAGATACTGCACAGGACCCTCAAGCTCCCAGGCCTCTGGTAGAGGACCTGAGCTTGAAGGATAAACCGCCCGCAGGGGCGTGCTGGGTGTTTTTTATATGCTTTGTATGTTCAGTATATTTCTATGCAAAACAAGAGGAACTTCAACACACAGCAGTATATTCACAGTTTACACCAGATATTTACACTTTATGGAAAACACAAAAACATTTTTTTTACTGTTAAACATCAATTTAGAGTAAACTTGTTTTGTTTTGGATAAATAAATATTGAAATATCTTTTGAATTAGTTAAATGTCAGAATAAAGAGAGACAGAGCTTCTGTTTTTATCACTTTCATCAAATTTAGGAGTACATATACACTAAGTTTATTGTTAATTAATAAGAAACTGCAGACGATTCCATTCTGAGCTGAAGAAGCTTCTGATTGGTTCGTAGAGTCCATGTGAGTAAACTGGTGGCACACCTGTGGATGCATATAAGGCAAAACACAGAGGCTGTTTCTGTGACATGGGAACATCAAGAGATGTCAACAAAACACCAGGAACAGAACTGTGGAGCTCCATAAGTGTGGCTCAGTTTGAATACAATTTGGTGCCATTTACAATTAAGAGATACAGACAGTTTCTCTCTTTACTCTGAAAGTTAACAAATATGTTTTTATATTTATCTAAAAAAAATAAATAATTTAGTCTGATTTGATGTTACGATTAAAAAAGTGTTTTTATCTGAAGAGTAAATATCTGGTTTCAACTGTAGATTTGATGATTGTCAGCACAGAGAGGGAGAGAGAGGAACAGAGATGAACAAGAGCAGGTGAGACTCACATGTTAGTCAAATGGTTGTTTACCAAAAGTATCACTGTATCACAGGTCCTCATGTATCTCGTACCTAGTGTTTCTTTTTAGGTTTGTTATTTTTCAAATTCTATATTTATTAAGTTTTGCAGCTTGTTTGCACAACGAGGATAAATAATTATATAAACTTTTCTCAATCTAAATATTGGACTTTGGTAGAATTAAAAAATAAGTGTAGTGCAGGTCTATGATGATTTTTAGTGCTGCTATCATCTAGTTCTGATTCTGGTTCTGTCTTGGTTAAGTCCTCAGTAGTCCTGATTTTGAACTGTTGTAGTCCTGTTTTATTTCCGGATCAGTTCTGGGTCTGGTTGAACTGGGGTTTAGTCCTCGTGTCTTGATACAGCCAGACTTTGTTCTTTCTTGCTGCTTAATTAAAAAACTAGTTTAAGGTGTCCTGCACATGTGATATATATTTTTCCCTATATGAAGTCATTCTTTTTTTGAACAAAACTCAAAACAGAGCCAATTAATCTTTCAGTCATTTCAACCCCCCCCCAAATCCCACATGCATACTACCCTTTAGGGCTAAGCCCCGGGTGTATCAAATGTCTGCCTCCACCTCTGGTGCTGCCCCCTGCTGGACGCTGTGATACTTTGTATTCTGGCTTTGTGGTTGTTTTTCACCGACTGAAGGAAAATAAATTTTCTTGCATGCATTTTTCTTATATTCTTATTTGTTTTGATGCTTTAACCCTGCATCGTGGCTCCAGCTGTGAATCTCGTCAGAAAGAAAACAAAGCAACGCTGTAAAAGTTTCACAGATTTATTTATTGAAACAAACATTTTAACAGAGACTGTGAGAGGTCAGAAATATCTCCAGAGGTTAAGAATCTGACTCGACCAGCGTCGGGACGTTTGACCCTCTCTGACACAAACGCTTCCACCTGTGTAAAGCGAAGATTCGACGATGTTTTTTTCTGTCAGAGATTCCAGGTGGAAAACAAGCTGTGAGAGGATTGTGGGAAATATCCAAACACCTGTCAGACCTCACACACCTGAACACAGAACCTTTGAGCTAAAGTCATTACAACAAACAGAGAAACCACAAAAACTGTTCACAGAGCAGCACCGACACGCCGCCTCGGGCTGAGACTCCACGGCCCAGAAACAAAACAGAAAACCTGCTGTGACACTCATTTCAGAGAAAAAGCACACCTTGTATAATGTTTGGCTTGCAGAAGAAGAATCACCAGAGGGAATCAGAGCAGCTGCGTGTAGGAACCTGCTGAGTTAATGATCTGTCAGCGTTCCTGCCAGCCGATCACAGATGATGAGTTTAAACATCAAATGGAGGAAAATAGATGAAAACCACTTTGTGGCAAATGAAACACTGTGCCATCATCGCCTGACATATTTCACGGTCTCATAACAGTAAACTTCAGTTTAACTTTTCCAGGCCTGGAGATGTCTTATGATCATGGAATTGCAGCTTTTCCAGGAATTGTTTGTCATGTCAAACCTTCCCTGCGGCAGAAATCCTGTTCTCTTCATCGCACAGCTCTCCTCTCACTGTCCTCTGCCTCCCTCTGGTGGCGGGGCTCAGTTCCTGCGCTGCTCCTGGTCCTTCCGGCGCTGCTTTTCCTTCTGTTTCTCCAGCTTGTCCAGAGCTTTTTTCTCCTTCTCTGCTGCACTTTGAACATCTTTGATGCGGCGCTTCAGCGCGCTGCGATCAGACGAACTGAGCACGCCCAGACCCTGCAGAGGACGGGAGGACAGCTCCAGTTATGGTCTCCAAACAGTTCAGTATTGTAATTGACTTTACGTGTAACCTTTGCAAGCTGTGTCAGTCAGCCTTATCTAAGACTACGGCTATGACAGAGTCTCTCAGGAAGTCCTGTTCTTCCTCCTCATCCTCACCTTCAGTTTGCTGCCGTCCATCTGCAGCAGCTGCTGCCCGTCGATGTCTCTAGCACTGAATTCCGGAACGTACTGCTCCATGTTGAGTCCTCGGAGCCACTGACACACCTGCTGAGTCGTCCAGGACGAGTGGGGTTCATCGCAGGGCTGAGGAAGAGGAGGAGGGAGCACAGTGAGCCACAGGTGAGTAGATGACAACGTTTTGGTGTTTGAGGTGGCGAGTGTGTTACCTCATCGGAGGACTGGGACAGGGTGTGGTAGGGATGGGAGGACCTGGAAGAAGAGGAGTCAATGGGAGGAGAGGTGGAGGAGGAGGTGTGAGGAGGAGAGAACTCCTCACTGAGAGCCGACTCCTGTGGGGAGAACACAGAGACGTTACTTCAGCATTATTTCACTAAAACTACAACCGCAGCTACGAGCACCAGCAGACAGCTGGTCACGTGGTTGGTTGCCTTGGTAACAGTCCCCCTCAGATATTTGGTGTTCTTCATCGAGTGGTTGTTGCCTCCATCGCTCCCCTCAGTATGACCCACCCTCTTCGCATTGCGAGCGATTATCTCACCTTCTGTCCTGTTTCTCAGCTCTCAGAAACACAGCACTGTGTCCATCTGCAGTCAGCTATATTTGACCACAGACCTCAGCATGTGTGAAAATGTAAAGGAAGAGCACGCACAGACACCACTCTGACTATCTCAGACATAGCATGGAAGGTGGGTTACAAAGCGGCTTGCAGATTACAGCAGCATGATCAGGCTTAAGAGCAGGAAGTTCAACTCGACGACGACTAAGCTGGCCAAAGGAGCTGATGCAAGAACAGGAAGCTCCTGAGCATGCATGGAGGGTTTCACCCCAAGTCCAGCGCCCTGAGGCTGTATGCAAGGGGAAGGAAGGAGGCGCTGGACTGGTGAGTGTCAGCACCACAGTCCGGGATGAGACAACAAACATCCGCGAATACATCAGGAAGATGGCTCCAACTGACCATAGAAGGACAGGCCCTTGCATGGTATGTACCACCGGCAGATAGAGGAGGTGGCTGACATCCAGAAATCCTACCAGTGGCTGGACTAAGCTGGACTGAAGGACAGCACAGAGGCACTAATCATGGCAGCACAAGAACAAGCTCTGAGCACAAGGGCACAGCTGTTAAACAATGACATATAAACCCTGCATCCAGGTCCTACACGGCACCAATGTGACTGAATGCTTTGGTCTGTTTAATTTGAACAATGTCACGTTGTTGGCCTCTCTGATTTTGTCAGCTCTCTTCATCTGCAGCAGTTTAAAGCTCAGTTTTTAAAACCTTACTATGTGACTGCAGCTCAGATCGGGATGGAAAAGAATCACTCGAATCTAAGAAACATTTGAACGGGTGCATGAAGATAGATATCAGGAATTGTGTACTGTGGATGCATTATTTCAGGTGTTTCCCCAACTGAAATTTACAGCATCCTTTTCCTGCTGTGTAAGTGCACCAGGAACCCTCATGTTAACTTTTATTGTGGGGAAAAAAGTTCATCCTCCAGCTTCACTGTGTGAATCTGTTTATGCTATGCTAACATAGCTGTGTCGCTAGCGATTACGTAGCACATCATTATATAGCAGCTAGCCCAACGTCAGTAACCCTACAAACATCACTGCTGTTTACTTTTCTGTCTCCATTTGTGTTGGAAGTGATAGCAGAGCTGTACGCTTGAATTTGTTTCAGAAATGTCTCACTCAGACAAGGGTGTATCATTTTTAGATGGAAACTAGCGAGCTAACTTCCTGCTAACCTAATGCCGTTAAACTTCATTAATCCTGGTTTTCATGGATGCCTGGAAGTTAACTCTCAGTTTTTAACTCCCAGTGATGACGCTGTGTTTGTTTGAGTTTAGGAAATGAAGACGAGTTTGGACCAGAAACGACTAAGTGGTCGGCATAGTGTACAGCAGTGGTTCCCTTTTTTTGCTAGGCCCCCCTTTGTTTTACCCCCCCGGCACAAACACATCCTCCAACCACACACGCCCATATTTTGCCCCATTGTGGTTTATTTCACACCTCAAACATTTAGTAAACAATTAAACAAATACAAGTAAACTGCAATAAATTACAGGCAGTAAGGAAATAAACTACTAACTCTTTTACGCTACGTCCGCACCTACACGCAGCTGTTTCGTCCACGTAAACGGCATTTCGAATCACTGAAAACGGAGATTTTTAAAACTCCTTTATTGCGTTTACGTGTGGTCAAGGAATACAGAGTTTGTCACGCAACGTCAAAGGTATGCGCCTTTTTCCACGTCACGCTGTGGCCATGTTATTGTTTACATGAGATGAATTGCAGAATGGAAGATAGAGACAAAATACTGTTAATCTGACTGTCTGCAGGTTTTACACGCTTACATACACGCAGTTACTGTCCCTCCATTTACAAAGGCAGAGGCGTCACGGTGTCATTATTTTACATGTGGTTGTTTTTTCCTGTGTAATAATGTTCAACATTGCTGTCAATACATTTTTCAAAAAATGCCTCTCTGTGCAAAATGGGTTTAAAAACATAAACAGCTGTGAGAGACTGTTTGTCTGTGATTTAAACAGCCCAGCGCTGCTCCCGATGAAGGGGAAACCTGCAGGGAGACCTACCTCGGCACCTGTGCAGGTGAAACCAAAGGACAGATTTGCGTCGCCATATTTTCTTTGGCTTAAAATGAAGTTGGTTTGGAAACATGTTCAGCGATGCTTCATCTCCTGCTTTGCGTTTGTGTGGGAGCCCCATTAAAAACCTGTCCATTATGCTAGCAGTGTCCAAGCATTTATTTATTTATTTTTTCCTTTTCATACCGCGCACCCCCTGCAATGGCTCTGCATCCCCCTAGGGGGCGGGCCCCACACTTTGGGAAGCTCTGGTGTACAGAAACATCTGTGCTGAGTATGGCCTGGAAGTCCGGAGGTCAAAATGGGAGACGAATGGGAGGGTGGTGGAGAATGAGCTAAGATCCTGTGGGACTTCCAGATACAGACGGACAAAGCAGTGATCAAGAATGACTAAGGGATTTTTTATTTTTTTTTTTACACAGTGCTGTGGTGCATGTTCTCCCAGTGTTTGCATGGGTTGTCTGCGGGTACTCCGGCCTCCACCCACACTCCAAAGACATGCAGATAGGATGCTTAATCATCCAGGTAAGGAAATCCTCAAAAGTTGATTCTGTTCTTCTGGACGGAGAAACATTTCATCATGTGACTTCTTCAGTCTCAGCTGACTGCAGGTTTCCAACCTTATAAACATCTGCACAATGACTTAAACTAGCACCACTGGTGATTGATCATTGATCAACAGTCTTTGATCATTGGTGATATCAAGTTACACACACACACACACACACACACACACACACACACACACACACACAGCCTATCAGAGCCATTAGCAGCTCCTTCCTCTGAGCTGTGATGGTGAGCAGAGAGAGCCTTAACGAGAAAACAGGGATCAAGAACAACTTCCTCCAGGCTGCAGAACATTTATCATCAACCACAGCTGTGTGATCATGTGACTGTCTGTCAGCCAACACGAGTAAAATCAATACTAACACACACACTCACTCTGTAACCTGACACTGTGTACACAGCTAACACAGCTACAGTCAGATGGAATATGTCACGCGTGTGCTGCTGTGACGTTTTGTGGGAACGTTGTTCATGTCCTCTCTCAGAGACTGCTCACATGTTTCACTCTGAAAGTGTTTTTAATGAATAACCCACTAAAACAGCTGACTGACTCCTGTCCTGCTGCCAGCAGAGAACTGAGCCCCTCGTTGTGTTTCAGGGCGACGCCCAGAGACAACGCTGCTGAGGTCGCTTTATTTTATCTTCAGTCTCATCAAATCAAACAGCAACTGAGTGAAGACGCAGCTGCTCTAACAGACGCTGATAGATTTCTTTGATTGTTGATAGCTTGTCCTCGGCTCAGATAATCCTAACCTGACTGCATGAACAACTTTACAACCCAACAGCACTGCAGACTGACTGCAGCAGGCTGAGCCACGATGCTGTTTTCCACCCGTCAGGTGTGATCGAGGTGTGCAGCTGAGGCAGCTCTCACTCTGGACAAACTAAACAGGACCTCGGTCAGCTTCAGGAGGTTCTTGCTCCTCACTCTTTTTCTGAAACAGTCCTGATTGTGTGGCGTCTCTTTAGGAGAGCCTAAGTTCATGTTTAGAGATGTGCACCGTGTGCACCGCTGCCCTCTGTAGAGCGTGGGAGAAACATGCTCACACATGGACCTTACGGGTTGTATGAACACTGCTTGCTTCATGTATGATGAGACAGCAGCTGTAAGGTTGGTGAAAGTGTGTTTATTAAAGGACAAGCGCTGTTGAATTCCCAGTGAGATTGTGACTGTCCTGCAGACAGTTGCTGCTCCTCTCACAGTTCACAGGCTGGAAAATCCTCCTGTGTCCTTCTGACATCAGGCCCAAAGCTGCTGAGGAAACCACTGGTTTATCTGCAGGTTTGAAATCCTTTGCCTCCTCCTCATCATCTTCATCTGCAGAGTTTATAATTAAAACCCTCTAACATCAAAGAAAAGCTCTAACATAAACCTGTAAGCAGCTTAATTGGACATAAAGTATCTGAATTTCCGGAGCGGGACCAAACAGGCTACAAGCTGTTCGTTCTCATTTTCTTGTCCCACCCTTTTTTACTTCGTCACTTCTCATTACTATACAGGGATCAGCCAGGCCCGGGAGCCGCCCCCAGTCCCCTCTGAGGACTTCCCAAACTGCAGCTCACTTCATGTCTAAGCCATTCACCTTTAAAAACGCTGGCAAACCTAAGATGAGGACGTGGACCCAGCGAGTGAAAAAAGCAGAATTTCAGCCGGCTTCTGTGCATGCATGCTTGCATTGTTCATTGATGATGAGTGAAAACAAATCTGAAAAAGAGAAAGGTCACTTACAGCGGTGGCTCTGAGGAGCCTTTTCATGGATAACAAAGAAATCCTTCGTTTTATGGAAAGGGTTGGAACAACATCTCCTGGTTTTGAGTAAACTGAATCCCAGTCCCTGAAACAGGAAGTCTATAAAGACTTTGATGGTTGCAGCATGAAGAGTTTTCTGTCATGGATGACTGGACCCAATTCTTTCCAACTTCAAGGGTTCAAAATCTTTATTTAATGTGACAATATGTTTGAGAGGCTGCTGAAGAACATCATCTCCTCCTCCATCCCAGACACCACAGATCCGCTGCAGTTCGCCTACAGATCCAACAGATCCACAGAGGATGCCATCGCCCACGTCCTACACACCACCCTCAGCCACGTGGACAAGAAACAGGGTAACTATGTGCGAATGCTGTTTGTTGATTACAGTTCAGCGTTTAACACAATAGTGCCCTGCAGACTGTTCACAAAGCTGAGGGATCTGGGACTTAACAGCCGTCTGTGTGCATGGGTGTTGGACTTCCTCACTGGCAGAACTCAGGTGGTGAGGGTGGGCAGGTGCTTCTCCAACAGCATCACCATCAACACAGGAGCACCTCAGGGATGTGTCCTCTCGCCACTGCTCTACTCCCTCTACACTTCAGACTGTGTGGCCACCCATGGCTCCAACACCATTGTGAAGTTTGCTGACGACACAGTGGTGTTGGGTGCCATCTCCAACAACGATGAGGCGGCCTACATGGATGAAGTGAAGAATCTGGCATCGTGGTGCCAGGACAACCACCTCCAGCTGAACGTCAGCAAGACCAAGGAGCTGGTGGTGGACTTCAGAAGGGGTCAGCACAGAGACTACAAGCCCATCATCATCAATGGAGCTCCAGTGGAGAGGGTGCAGTCCTTCAAGTATCTTGGTGTCCACATCTCCTCAGACCTGACATGGGCTGCCACATTCAGGTCCAGACCAAAAAGGCTAGGCAGCGCCTGTATCACCTACGACAACTGAGGAAGTTCAGGGTCTCTCCAAAGATCCTCAGGATTTTCTATACAGGTGCTGTGGAGAGCATCCTCACACAGAACATGACATCGTGGTTTGGGAACAGCTGTGTGAAGGACCAAAAAGCTCTCCAGAGAGTGATCCGTACAGCAGAACGCTGCTGCAGGATTGCTCTCCCCCCGCTTCAGGACACCTACACCAGGAGATGCTGGACTAGAGCAGATACTGAAGGACCCGTCCCATCCTGGCAACAAACTGTTCCAACTTCTGCAATCTGGTAGAAGGTTCAGCATCATCCGGGCAAGGACAGAGAGACTCAAGAGGAGCTTTCTATCCCCAAGCCATCCGTGCCCTAAACACACACACCCACCCTCTCACATCATCTATAACTGACTGAGACAGGACTCTTCCAGACACTAAACCAAGGCACAATGTACATTTCAATTCCTTTAATTTTAAATATGTTTATATTGTCTATCCTGTAAAATAGTCAGATGTCTATTCATATTAATGTACAGAATTCACCTGCTTGCTGCTACTACTGCACATTCACCCAGTGTATATACTATATGTCTGTATATATATATATATAATGTTCTTCCTCTACCCCCCTCCCCCCCAAATTTTGCACATGTCGAGGCGCGTGTCAGGCTACATTTCACTGTGTGTTATACTTGTATAACTATGCATGTGACAAATAAAGAACCTTGAACTTGAACTTGAATGTAGAGTTCATACCCAGAAATATGATCAGTAGCGGTTTTAGATACGGGCGACACGGGCGGTTGCCCAGGGCGGCATCGTGGTGGGGGGCAGCATCATGGGCATCGGCAAAAAAAACCCTGCTCGTACTCATGCTGCCCCGGTGTCATGCCAGCGCATACTGGGAATGGTACAGGCACCGATCGGTTTTCTATCGCCCATTTGCTGGGAGTAAGGGCGCCCTCCGTTTGCGAGGTGCGCCTGCTGCTTGCGGCGCAGAGAGGAGAGGGCGGGGCGGCGGGGGATTCTCTGGCTGGCTGCAGCAGCATCTAATAACCAACTCGCAAAATAAAACAAAATAAAAACAACAAACAAACCAACAACACGAAAACACCAGACATCCTGATACAGATTTATAATAAAGGGATCAATAACAATTTAAAATCTATATTTTATATTTTGTTGATTTAAAGTCTCACACACAACCTGTTTTTAAAGTTTAAAAACAGAGAAAAGAGGAGGAGTGTAGCGACTTCCACAGTCGCTGGAGGCCGGGGATGGAGCCCGCCTATTTGCCTGACGCGCTGTCAACTTTACGCAATAATGCCAGAGGTGGAATTGCTTGCTTGTTTATTAAAATGCTTGAAAAGTTTACAGAGCATGTGATCGGCTCGCGATTCAAACTCTACATCACAGTCTCTAACGCAACAAGGGGAAACTCATTGTGCTGCGGTCAACAAAAACTACGGCTACCCGCCCTCCTCTCTGTCAAAATCAAACCAGTGAGAGACAGACTGACAACGCCCTCTTAGTGTCACCGCTAGCAACCACGTGACTCCTGTTACACATCACCATAGCAACCAAACAAATGAAAACCCAGTGATCATTAAAATTCAATACATTTAATTATGGCTCCTACAAGGAGAAACGAGAAAAAGATGCAGGTAAGCAGATGTGTGATTGGATAATGGCAGCTCATCCTGAAAGATTAAGAATCAGAATACTTTCTTAATCAATAAGGAAATTATGTGGGTTACAGTTGCTCCAAGAAGAAATGGTAAAAATAGTAACAGACTAAACTCCAAACAATATATACAATAATATAATATTAATTAGTCAGGGTCAATTGTTGATTTGTCCTGTTCTCATTGTATGACGAATTATGTCTGTTTAGTAGCCGTTTGCACACTATGCATTTCTCTCTCTCTTCATATGTGTGTGTGTGTGTGTGGGGGGGGGGGGGGGCACCAGAGGGAGTGTTCGCCCAGGGCGCCAAACAGGCTAGGACCGCCACTGCATATGAATTTCCTTTGTTAACACTATTCCCTGATGTTACCAGCCCCTTCTCTGTTTCTGTTTGTTGGTTTGTTTTGCACTTTCGAACCACCGTACATAACGCTGCGTTTGTCTCATACCTGGGAGTGAGACTTGCGCGGTCTCGGGGAGCTCAGCGGTGGAATTTTGGGGGAGCAGGGCGGAGTACCGGAGGAGGAGATCGACCCCCGTCCTTCGGTGAACCAGGAGAAGGAGATGAAGGATCCGGAGGAACGGGACGGACTCTCAGACGGCTCTCTGAGGACAGAGGACAGCGTCAGGACAGGAAACGCATAAAAACACATGTTCGTCCTCTTAAATGATGTGTGTGGTGGAGCCACCTGCTGCCCACAGAGAGCCTGTTGGATTTATCTTTCCTCACTCTGATGTATGAACGCCTCAGAGTCACCCTGTGAAAGACACGGGGACAACAGTCAAAGGTGCAGAAACATTTGTGCTGACTGCGGGGACCTTGGATGAAGGATTCAACATAAATGACCTCATCAGTCACGAATATTAAATATAGTTTAAAACACCTGGAAAAGTGAAGTCAGAGCTGATCAGGACTGGGAAAGGCCGCTGTGACTGGATGGTTCAGTAAATGGATCATCTTCTTGTTTTTGATGTTTTTACCTTCAGGTTACTGTAAACTGATTGGGTCCTCACAAAGACCAACATGTGTGTGCATCTCACCCCAGGTCCAGGAAGCGTCTTTTGGTTTTCTTGTCGAAGATGACGGTCGGACTGCCGGGATCAGCTGGACTCGTGTCACGACTTGTATCAGAGACCAACACTGACACACACACACACTCGTTAGCATCTGTGCAACATTATATGTCAATCAGATCTCATAGGAAGCGAGTGTTTGTTATATGTGTGTGTTTTCCGGTGTTTGCAGGTGTGCACCTTCACTGTCGGGCCTTCTGTTCCTCCTCATGTAGACAGGTGAGCAGTCGGAGGAGGGACAGGATTTAGATGGTGAGCTGCTGGGAGTAACCAGGGCCTCTTGAGAAGTTGCGTTGGTCAGCTGATGGTACCGCCCCCGAGGTGGACCAGCCAATGACAAGCCTCCGTCCTCTGGCGAGCGACGGACCTGAAAAACGAAAGGACAATGAAACTTGTTTTCTTTTACTTTTTAAAACCTGATGTGAGCTCGGTGAACTCACCAGCGACGTGTCGAAGGAGAATCCAGGGCTTCTAGCTGACAGCAGCGAATCAGGGGAGGGGGAGGACCCTCGCATCGCCAGGTGGAGAGGCGAGCGGGCAGAGTGCAACGGACTGTCCTGGAATGATAGACACACTAGATTTCATCACACACCAGAAACGGAATAATCTAACAATGAAATGATCTCAGGAATTTAACAAAATACTTTAAAATTAAAAACTAACTTAATAATTTTAAGTTCCTCTTAGTGCTGATGACATCACTGGCTGTGATGTGCATCTAATGTTATTGTGCATAAAATGTTATTGTTTCAACATCTTTGTCATTTAATTCTCTAAAATATTTAGATGCATCTCACTGACCTCCACCTTTCTGTCGAGGCAGTCGTCGCCCTCCGTTGAGCTAATGCTGTCTCGGTAACGGGACCTGGACGGGCGTTGTCTCCGTGTTTTGACAGACAGCTGGGCGCGGCCTTTCTGGATGCTGTTATCCAGCAGCTCTGTCTCTGGGATCGCCTCGTTCAAGTCTGAAACACCCACACACACACACACGAGTGTAAATGTGAGGCAGGCACTGAATGAACTTTGACCTTGTTATTGATCCAGAATGGTTCCACACACTGGTGATGGCAGCTACATTGTAGCCACAGCTGCCCTGGGGCGCACTGACAGAGGCGAGGCTGCGGACACTGGCGCCACCGGCCCCTCTGACCACCACCAGTAGGCAACGGGTGAAGTGTCTTGCCCAAGGACACAACGACCGAGACTGTCCAAGCCGGGGCTCGAACCGGCAACCTTCCGATTACAAGGCGAACTCCCAACTCTTGAGCCATGATCGCCCCAATGATCCGTGCAGGATAAATATTCAGGTTTCCTTCTTAAAAAAAAGGTGTTATGGCTAAAAGACGACCTGTAGAGAGAGGTCGCCCAGTGATTGACTGTTCCAATGACATCATCAGGACCCAGATCAGAGCAACTGAACTTGCTGTGAGGAGCTCCTGTCTGAAGTTTCCCACTCATGTTCAGACAAACCTCTGTGGATCAGAGTGAACCTGAAGGAGCCCTACAAACAGACAGACTCTAAGGCAGCTTCTGACTGTGTTTACACTGGTTTCAAAGTGGATTTCTAGAGCTTTACTCACAGCAGTGGAAGGTGTTCACCATGAAAATGCAGTAATGAATGGTGGATGATGAATAGATGATGGGTGGATGGATGATGGATGGATGTACATGGGTGGGTGATGGACTGATGGTGAGTGAAGATTTCAAGCTGCAGTTTTTGTGATGATGCTGAAGCTTGTTCAACATAATCAGCTCCTCTTCCTCCTCCCACTCACCCCATCAGGAGTCCATCAAATATTCAACACACTGACCATCATGCTGGAGCCTATCCCAGCTGTCGTAGGGGGAGAGGCGGGGCACAGCCTGGACAGGTTGCCAGACTCTCGGAGGGCTAACACAGAGAGACAGCCAATCATTCACACTTATGGGCAATTTAGAATCACCAGTTAACCTAACCTCACTGTATCCCACTGAACTGTGTTAAATACATTTTGTTAACTTTGTTTTTTAAATGGAAAAATATCACCATGTCAATTAAGCCTATAACACATTCAAACAACAGATGCAAAGTCCCAGGCACATTTACATCCCAGGTCTCCAAACAAACGGTATCAATACATAAGAAAACTTTGTTAACTAATTAGTGTGGATGGTTAAAACACAACGCTGTTGTCCTGGGGTTCATAAATCATGACACTCCCCTACATAAGCTCCCTGAATTGGCAAAAAGTATCGGTATCAGTATTGCTATCGCCAATACTGCTCTTAAATTACTTGGCATCAGATCAATACCAAAATTTGCAGTATTGCACAGCACCAGCACCGAGGCAGTTACTGTTGTTTCCCCCGAAACAGTCGATGTGGCTGAAGGAAAAAAGAGGACATAAAAAGTTTGATATCAAAGACTAACAGAAGAAAAAAGAAGGACAGAGGTCATGTGACCTGACACAACGTAAAAGTCTGAGTGGCGATCTGTGATCTTTGTGTTTGCAGTGTTCGATCTGCTGTTTGTGAAATCTGGTAGATTTTTAAAAAAGGTACGTTTACCTTACATTTGGATTAAAAAGGTTAAAGCCAGCACAATTTCAGTTTTATAATCAGCATGGTTTCTCTGCTTTCTGTCAGTGATGCTGGTGACAGTTATCGCACGTCTTCAGTCCGTCTTAACATGATCATACAGGCTTCCTGCCTCTCCTCCCCCACACTGAACTGACGGCAGTTTATTTCCCAGGGGGGAGAGAGAAGGAGTTAAAGTGATGATGAGGGGAGGGGGAGGAGAGGAAATGGAGGATTTGGTGCAGAAACATTCAATCCAGGTGACAGAGAGGGAGAAAATAAAGATTTAATGGAGCAGAGGATGGAGGAATGGAGGTGGGGGAGGGATCAGGGGAGAGAGTAAATGATATTAGAGGAAGGTGAGGGGGTGAGGAGGGAGTCAGATGATATTAGAAAAAGGGGGAACAAAGAATAAGAAACCTTCAGCCGCTTTCATGTTTGATTCTTTAACTCGGATTTTGATCAAACAGGAAACAGAATTCAGAACCAAGGTCCATCAAACCAGGGCCCATCCAAACAGGGTCCATCCAACCAGGGTCCATCCAACCAGGGTCCATCCAAACAGGGTCCATCAGCATGTTTGCTGACAGTCCAACAGATTCATTTCCTGTGACTTTTATTTGTCTGCCTTATGAAACATCTGTGGAGGAGTTTAACCTCCAGGAGGAGGAAAAACTTGCAATGGGAAAAAAGGTCTGTTTAAGGACCACTCCACTCCTGTATGTGTGTGTGTGTGTGTGTGTGTGTGTGTGTGTGGTGTGTGTGTGTGCAACGTGTATGTGGTGGACGCATGTGTGTGTGGTTGTGTGTGCACACGTGTGTTGTGTGTGTGTGTGTACGCATTGTGTGTGTGTGTGGTGTGTGCACACGTGTGTGTGTGTGTGTGTGTGTGTGTACGCATGTGTGTGTGTGCACATGCGTGCACACGTGTGTGTGTGTGCGCACGTGTGCACACACACGTGTGCACACGTGTGTGTGTGTGTGTGTGTGTGCACAGGTGTGTGTGAGAGAGACTCACCGAACACGCTGTCGGTATCGTCGAGTTCAGCAGACATGGCTCCTCAGCAGTATCTGTGCACAAGAAGAGACCAAATCATTTTGGAGATTATGTATCTGAATTTCAGGAGCAGGGCCACGCCTCCAAACACGCTCCTTCCGGTTGCCCTATAGCAGGGGTGTCAAACTCCAGGCCTCAAGGGTCCTGTAGGTTTTAGATATCACCCTGGGTCAACACACCTGAATCAAGTGATCAGTTCATTACCAGGCCTCTGGAGAACTTCAAGACATGTTGAGGAGGTAATTTAGCCATTTAAATCATCTAAAACCTGCAGGACACCGGCCCTGGAGGCCTGGAGTTCGACACCTGTGTCCTATAGGTTCCCTCAGTTCTGCAACTGTTCATTCTTGTTTACGTGCCCCTCCCTCCCTCCTTGTTCTCAATTCTTTAATTTCTTCTTTTCTACAACAACAACAAACTTTATTTATAGAGCACATTTAAAAGCCTTGGGCATACCAAAGTGCTTTACATAAAACAATAAAAAATAAAACAGTTCACACATTAACATCAAATTCATAAAAGTAACGGATTATGTTCACAGATAAAAGCCACCAATAAGAGTAAACTGCAGCACATAGGTTATAGCAAGGTAAGACTGTACCACCATGATAAAAGACACCAATAATGGAAAGATAGCAGAGAATTTAATACAATAGGTCAATAGGTCACTGCAAACAAGCCAGCATTTAACTGGTAGAAAAGGCAAGTTTAAAAAGATATGTTTTTAGCCGTGATCTAAAAGAATGAATAGAATCAGACGCCCGGATGCCAATCGGGAGATTGTTCCACAGCTCCGGTGCAACTAGAGCAAACGATCGATCACCTCTAGATTTCAGTCGAGATCTGGGCTGAACCAGCAGTAACTGTGAGGATGACCTTAAAGCCCTAGCAGGAGCATATGGGTTTAAAAGTTCCTTAAGATAGCTTGGTGCAGTGTTATTGGTAATTTTAACAGTAAACAACAAAATTTTTAAATTGAATACGATATTTGACAGGCAACCAGTGCAGATCAGCAAGGACAGGAGTAATGTGGGCAAACTTCTTGGTTTTAGTTAGAATGCGTGCTGCAGCATTCTGAACTGTCTGTAATCTCTGTAAAAGGGTAGAGTGGAGACCACAATAAAGTGAATTACAGTAATCTAGCCTTGACGTTACAAAGGCGTGGATGAGCTTTTCTAGGTCTTTATACGGGATATAGTGCCTGGCCTTAGAAATAAGGCGAAGCTGGTAAAAACTGGATCTGACAACAGCAGACACTTGTTTATCAAGTTTAAATGAGCTGTCAAATAAGACACCCAGATTCCTGACAGTGTCAGAGAAAGAACTAGTGAGAAAACCAAAGGCATCCCGAAGTTTGGCACGAAGGGCATTACTACCAAAAATCATAATTTCAGTTTTCTTATCATTAAGGATAAGAGTATTTGCCAAAATATTTAGTACATGGGGATCTGCCAGCTCGGGAGCCGTCGCCAGTCCCCTTCGAGGCCTTCCCCAAACTGCAGCTCAGTTCATGTCCAAGCGTTCACCTTTACCTACTAAAACGCTGTCAATCCTAAAATGAGGACGTGGGCCCAGCTAGTGAAAAGTTAAATAAGTTAAAGGAGCAGTCTGTCTGCTGAAGAACACCTGTGATGGGTGCAGGAGGTCAGCTTTATGGTCTGACCGACACATTTATGGGCTTCAACGTGAAAACTAATGTGCTCTACATAAATACAGTTATGAGCTGAGTGTGTCAGTGTGTGCTAAACTAGTGCTGTGCATTAAAAGAAGTGAGACAGGTGAGGTCAGACCAACCCAGGGGGAGACACAGAAACATTGCTGTTATATTAAATATCTTTCTTTACTCTGAATGTTTCAAAGTTTGATGACGTTCTGGACACGAAGCAAGTGCTCCAACTACCACTGGGACCGCTGTCATCTTCACCCTCCACATCTCCTCCAGCTCTTCTCTGAGCCCTTGGTATTTCTCCAGCTTCTCGTGTTCCTTCTTCCTGTTGCTGTCATTGGGAACCGCTACATCGATCACTTTATCTGTTTGTCTACCACCACTACGTCCGGTTGGTTAGCCACCACCATTTTGTCCGTCTGTATCTGGAAGTCCCACAGGATCTTAGCTCGGTCATTCTCCACCACCCTGGGGGCATCTCCCATGTCAGCCACCTCCTCTATCTGCCGGTGGTACATACCATGCAGGGGCCTGTCGTCCCATGATGGTTTCTCCTCTTTCTTGGGTTTCTGCTGCCTGAGGTATTCACTGAGCACGCAGTTGGTTGGGGTCATCTTTCTGATCTTCCTTCCGCTTAGCGTACAGCCTCAGGGTGCTGGACTTGGGGTGAAACCCTCCATGCATGGTCAGGAGCTTCCTCGGATTGATGTCAGTGGCTTCTATCTCCTCCTTTGGCCAGCTTATTATCCCAGCAGGGTACCTGATCACAGGCAGGGCGTAGGTGTTGATACCCCGGATCTTGTTCTTACCATTCAGCTGACTCCTCAGGACTTGCCTGACCCTCTGCAGGTACTTGGTGGTTGCAACTTTCCTAGCAGGGTCTTCATGGTTTCCATTTGCCTGTGGGATCCCCAGGTACTTGTAGCTGTGCTCTATGTCTGCAATGTTGCCTTCTGGTAGTTCGATCCCATCAGTTCTGACTACATTCCCTCTGTTTGTTACCATCCGACTACACTTCTCCAGTTGACTTTCCGATGTCAGTGGTGTGGATCAGTTCATCCATGTCCTGTTCACATACAGCTTGATGGCATCCATGTACAGGAGGTGACTGACAGCTGCTCCACTCTGTAGTCGGTACCCGTAGCCAGTCTTGTCAGTGATCTCACTGAGGGGGTTCAGGCCTATGCAGAACAGCAGTGGGGACAGAGCATCTCCTTGGTAGATCCCGCACCTGATGGTAAATTGTGCTGTTGGGTTCCTGATGAAGGCTCTCTTGTATACAGTAGTTCTAGGCATTTCAGGATCCAGGTGTGGGGCATTTGGTACTGAGGCCGGTTATCAGCTTGTTCTGCCAGTAGGTGTGAACCATGAACCATGTCACCTGAACACACACCCCACCTGCTTCTCACCTTTTGCTGTAAACTGCCTCACTGAGAGCTGGAGGACATCACTCGATGAAGCCAGAAGAACCACATCATCTGCAGGAAGCAGAGATCCTAAGACCACTGAAACCAAAGTGGGGCCCTACTGACCAACGTCCACACACACACACACACACACACACACACACACACACACACACACACACACACACACAAGAACAGGCACACACACACACACACACACACACACACACACACACACACACAAGAACAGACACACACACCACACACACACACACACACACACACACACACACACACACACACACACACACACAAGAACAGGCACACACACACACACACACACACACACACAAAAGAACAGACACACAAGAACAGGCACGCAGACACACACACACACACACACACACACACACACACACACACGCACACACACAAGAACAGGCACACACACACACACACAAGAACAGACACACACACACACACACACACACACACACACACACACAGATGTCAAAGCTCTGTTCGGTGTCTGCAGGCTGGAGCTCCGGCAGGAAAATGCACCGTCAGCCCGAGTCAGGAGGAGGTGGAGGGTGGAGGTGTGACAGGAGAGAAGACATGCAGAGATGGAGGCTGAGAAACGGACAGCAGTGATGAAGACAGGAGGAGAGGAAGAGGAGAGGTAAACAAGAGGAACAAACATGAACTCACCTCTGCGTCTCTCTCCCTCTGACTGTTGTCATGGCACGTCACCCTCTCTCTCTGTCTCTCTCTCTGGACTGCGACTCCCAGGATTCCACGGGGCTTCGCTCCTGCCCAACAACAGTCTGGGCTCAGGCAGAGGATTGTGGGTGCTGTAGTGTCCTGTTTCAGGAAACGTAGGTCTGCTGACGGCTGCAGGCAGAGATGCTGGCTCACCGCTACTCAGCACAACACTGCAGCCTCCATCTGAGAGAGGAGCAAGGACAGCTGAGACACACCGAGGAGGAGGAGGAGAAAAGAGAGAGAGGGATGCGCAAAAGCAGGCAGAGCGGAGAGGCAGAAGAACATGACGTCATGTCTTCAGCTAAAAATCAAAACAGAAATCAGATTCATGAAATCATCAAGGAAGAAAGAAACTCAGGAAAATGACAAATAAAACCTTAAAATCAAGACGATGATGAAAAATCTTTTATTAATCTACAGAAAACCGATCAGAGACTAACAGCATCATTGTTGGGGCAGATATGAAAAATACATTTTCTGATTAAAATGATAAAAATACAAAAACACATCTTAGAGCAGATATGAGCTCAGGTGATAAAGTCCTAACTGTATGACACTACAAAAGAGTTCAGGCTCCAATCAGAAGCATCCGCACAATGAAAAGTGCAGTATTTCAGAGATGGCTTGGTGCAGGAATACGTGTGGTTGTTGATTGGTTTAATGGGAATGTTTGTATGTCTTTTGAGCAGGTCCAAAAGAAATAAGGAATACTACAAATGGATTTTTATGCATTTTTACAGACCCGTCACTTAATTACTTCAAGTTTTGATACTTTGCACAGTACAAAGCAACTAGGACCCATGGCAAATTTCTTTTTACACTTAAACGCAGATAAAAGTACCATAAGACAGTTTTACAATACACTACAAGGCCATAACAAACATGATATTAGGAAACTTGTTGGGAGGGAGGCCTCCAGTGTCACTGTGATGATCATGCCTGCAGTGAGCGCATACAATCTCAGCATTCTTTATTTCTTAATAAAAGATTTAAAGAAACACAATATAAAATTTTACACAGACAGTTTAGAACTTTTCTGAATAAAACTGATCCGAGTAGGTCAGCACAATGTACTAAATGTAAATCTGCGGGGACCTCCTTGCATTCTGGCTCTGTGTAACAGAAGAATTAAAGGATATATTTAAAAGCAGAATACAAAAAGATCCAGCTCAGTATTTATTGGGGCTGCCAACTCTGAACAAATTTCCAGATAAAAACAAATATAAACTACTATGTAAATTATTTTTCTTGGCAAGAAAATGTATTTTTTTCAATTGGATCAATAAAAAACCACCAACAATAACTCAGTGGTACAAAGAAATCTTTACCAATGGAAAGACTGAGTGCAAACCTGAATGGTAATGACATCTTTCTGGATATATAGCGCCCTCTAGTGGATTACTTACCTGATGATCTGAGGGAAACTATAGCGAGAGCAGCAGCCCCACTCCAATGGCAGGTTGGGTTTCTCAGGTCAAATGGGTGAATGGGTGATAGACCAGTTATTTACCATACTGTGTTAGTTTTCCTTTTACATGTCTCAGACTGCTTATTGTGTTGTTTTGTATCAAAAAACCCAAGTAAAGAGATTTTTTTTAAAAAGTGCTGAATTTCTCAAGAATTTGAACATTGTCAGTATGCCATCATGTCATCGTAGTCACATAATAATAAGATTATAATAGTATCATCTGTCACAATAGAAATAGTTTTCATTCAAAGGCTTTATGGCTTTTCCTATAATACCTGGTGGGCGGGTCTCTAGTCAGAATGCGCGGGCCGGTTTTTCATCCCACTCCAGCCTGTGTGGTGATGATGCTGCGTGGCTACATTTCACCTCACAGGTGAAGCAGAAGAACTCCTGCACTAGTTTGTCCTTCAGTCTCAGACTCTCACACATCATCACTGTATTTTCATAAATGTATGTATCGGAACTTTTCTTTTTTCACCCCGGTCACCCCAGCGAGGTGACCGGTCCTTCCTCGTCCCTCACTCATCATCATCAGTTTACCTTATAGAGATCAGAGACTTCATCTCAGACTCATCAACCAACAGCTCGTCATCAGATCCATCAGCAGGACAACCTGATAGCCCACCTGCCTCCCAACAGACACGGGCACACCTCAGCTTCAGGTGTGTCTTTGAACCTATTAGACTTTTTACTGCTTCACATTTCACAGAAAATCAACAACTAACCCCGTTTCATTACTCTTCATTATTTTGTTGTATTTATTTTAATTATTTTTGTCATGGTTCTGGGTCCTCCAGCACTTTGTGTTTCCTTCTGATATTTCTGTATTTTGGGTTAAGTCTTTAGTTATATTCCCTGTTTAGGTCCTTGATTATTTAGTATTTTTGCCCGCCCTCTGCGTCTCTGCCTTTGTGTCTCCGCCCTCTGCGTCTCTGCCTTTGTGTCTCCGCCCTCTGTGTCTCCACCCTTTGTGTCTCCGCCCTCTGCGTCTCTGCCTTTGTGTCTCCGCCCTCTGTGTCTCTGCCTCTGTGTCTCCACCCTCTGTGTCTCCACCCTCTGTGTCTCTGCCTTCGTGTCTCCCTGTGTGTCTCAGTTTTATATTGTGGTGTGACTTCTTGTGTCGTGGTTTCCTTCATGTTTTATTGTGATATGTTTCTTCAGCGTGTCATGTCTGTGCTCTCCCTAGTGTGCCTCTCCTCCACACCCACATCATGTTTCCTGTTTTATTCTGAAGGGCCATGTCTTATGTCAGTGCATGTAGTTGGTGTCTCGTCATACTCATTTGGTTCAGCTGTGTGTGTTGTTCCCTCGTTTCCTGCTGTGTATTTATAGAGTGTGCTTTCTCGTTGCTGGTCCGTCTGTGTGTTCTCCGTACGGTTCTCCCTACTTGTCATGTTTCCTCAGTTCTCTGTTCCCTCATGTTTCTAGTTTTAAGGTCGGCTCTTTTTCCCAGTTTAAGTTTGCTTAGTTTTGTTCGTGCCATCACCGTCTATTGTTTGTTCGTCAGCCTCCGTCAGTAAAGCTCACTGACATCACAGAAGTGTCCTTATTGAAATTCCACACGTCTGTCGCTGCAGCCGTGACACTTTTGATGTACAAAAACACTAACACTGGCTCATGTGGAGTGTTTAATGCTCCTCAGTGTCTGTATATATACGAAGTGCTGCTACCACCATTACTAACATAACAGGAAGAAGCTCTGCATTGTCTGTGTCGCATATTTGCTTTGCAAACTCAGCACAACTTTAAATCTGATGACTGATGCGTATAGAAACTGAACCGGCTTGTAAATGTACCACACTCACATGTCACAGTACGAGTGCAACCACAGTGTTTCAGTCCACAGCCATCAGAGAGCTCTCTGGGTCCTTGTTCCTTTCCTTGGTCACTGTCATGCTTCTGCACTGACTGCTCTATCAGACACTTGTGTAGTCGGTGTGTAGCATGCTCGTTTATTTGCTCTGTGTGTTAAAACAATGAGTGCAGCCGTGAATGTCATGGTTGCTGCTAAAGAGGCAGACGATCCCCCTGCTGCTGTCAGGCCTTTGGGGCATGAGTCCTCCAGCCAGCTATGCATTAATGCTCTTAACTGTATTATTTTATTGTTTTTCTGTAAAGCACTTTGGTATGCCTAGGCTTTTAATGTGCTCTATAAATAAAGGTTGTTGTTGTTGTTGTAAAGCAGCTGTAAGATCTTATACCACCTGCTGGACACTTGCGTATATATGACTGCATCATCCGCATACATTTGAGCAAATATATTTGGACAGACTTCAGGTAAGTTATTGATAAAAAGAGAGAACAATAAGGGCCCATGAACAGATCCTTGAGGAACCCCTGTATCACAGTCTAAATATGGAGATTTAACCCCACCCAACACCACATACTGTTTCCTGTGTGAGAGATATGAGGCAAACCACTGAAGAGCCTGACTGGAGACATTAAACTGAGTCCATCTGGACAACAATATCTGATGGTTTACAGAGTCGAAAGCCTTCTTCAGATCTAAAAATACAGCTCCAATACAGGGACTCTTGTCCAGCAGGCTCTTCAAGTTCTCCACTAACATACACAGGGCAGTATCTGTGGAGTGATGTGCCCGAAAGCCAAACTGCAATGGATATAATGAGGGTTGGGTGTTTTCTAGGTGAGCAGTGAGGAGTTTAACCACCCACTTCTCAGCTATTTTAGATACGACCGGGAGTATGCTTATGGGGCGATAATTAGCCATGTCAGTCTTCACACCTGCTTTGAAAATTGGCGTAACTGCAGCAATTTTACAATCTGTTGGAACAATGGAGTGTTTGAAAAACATATTCAAAACATGAGCTGTTGGACGTACAAGCAAATCCATATGTTCCTTTAGGAAGTTTTTGTTAATACCATATACATCGAGTGCTTTTGATTGTTTTAAACCTGTAATTAGTTTAGCAACTTGACTGCTGTGATTAAAGCATCTTTCTTTCAGCTTAACGAGTGAACCGTCAGCTCGTTCAAACACACGTTAAAGTCCGTTTGGCTCGACACCACCGAACAGAGGCAGCAATATAACACAGCTCACATTAACAGTGCAGTGAATCCTGCTTGTGCCGTGATGTTCAGGACTGCAAACCGAGCAGCATCACTGACTTTCAGCTTGTTGTGTTTGTGGATATATGACTGACTTTAATTATCCACAAAATCATCAGATTCTCTGTAAGATTAAGGTCGACTATTGTATTATTATATTTTAAAGGCTTTAAAACCAAGTAAACGCTGAAAGTACAAACATCGCTAATGGCAAATAACTTTGCCGACATGTGGCCAACAGTAATGTTTTAATGTTCCTCATTATTAATAAACATTTGCACAGAAATAAGTGACATAATATTCAGTACTTACTTTTAGCCTTAGTCGCATCGCTGTGATGTAATCAGCCTTAAAATGCAGCCTTTACGGCTGCAGACCCTGAATTGGGATACGGCCTCTGTCACCTGATAAATGACAGTGAGACATCCCACATACATGCAGTCACACATGTGCTTCAAATAAAGTAATTTGAATTCAATTCAATTCAATTCAATTTTATTTATGTAGCGCCAAATCACAACAAAAGTCGCCTCAAGGCGCTTCGTAGATACAGAGAAAACCCAACAATCATATGACCCCCTATGAGCAGCATTTTGGCGACAGTGGGAAGGAAAAACTCCCTTTGAACAGGAAGAAACCTCCAGCAGAACCAGGCTCAGGGAGGGGCGGGGCCATCTGCTGTGATTGGTTGGGGTGAGAGAAGTAAGACA